CATAAATTAAATAAATCGACCCCTCTACTAGAAGTAATTTCTATTCTACGGCTACCACTACCACCTACCACTACGGCTACCACCCTCTACTTAAATATAATAATAATAATAATAATAATAATAATAATAATAATAATAATAATAATAATAATAATAATGTCTTTATTAATGAAGAGGCTCAGGCCATAGAGCCTGCTCTTCCGCCTAACCAAATATCGCATAGATCCGATCGTGGGGAACACTACAGAATTCCTACACAACTCGTCACATGTGTCTATCTACCTCACGGCAAAGTACATTTGCCGGCCCTAGCCTACGCGCTCGCGGTAGTCACCCTACCCGGCGCACTGCCTCCGATTCGCACAGCTCGGCTCTTCGAAGAGAAAGAGGGCCGGGTGATGCATCGCAGCAGCCTAGCTGGGCCCCTTTCACTGAGTTTCTACGCAACGCCATATCCTCACACCCCAGTCTTAACCCATGTGGTCTGCCACACGGCCACCTGCATCTATATTTGTGCACGACGCTACAATACAAAGAATTTGGTAGTATAAGACAGATACCAACAAAGGCCATTTTCAGTCTTAACCAGACTCGAGCTCGATGTCTAATGGCTGGCTAAAATGCTTCATATCTGAGGAATTTCCAATTCCTGGGCTTACGCCAGTCCAATCTTCTCCAACTTGGTAGTGGAGAGTATTAAAACAACGTTCTCTTAATGATCGCGTTTTGACCTTACGATCTCATTAGACAATCAGCTAAGATGCTCTAATAGAATGCTTGATATATTTCCCGTGGCCTAATTATGCCTGTTCTAGAGCGTTGGACTATGGTACAATTGTACCTTACCTTGAACCAAGTACCTTATTTTGTAGTATTGGTCAACTATCCCCTACCTTGTACCAAGTACCTTATTTTGGAGTGTTGGTCTACTGTACCTTACCTTGTACCCAGTACCTTATTTTGGAGTGTTGGTCTACCGTACCTTACCTTGTACCAAGTACCTTATTTTGGATGGGAGTGGTTGTTCTACTTGAACTTACATTTACAAGTACCGTTATTTTGGAGTGTTTGGTCTACCGTAACTACCTTGTACAAGTTACCTTATCTTTTGGAGTGTTGGTCTGACGTATACTTACCGTTGTACCAAGTACCTTATTTTGGAGTGTTTTGGTCTAACCGTACTTCACCTGTACAAGTAACCTTATTTTGTAGTGTTTGGTCTACCGTACTTACTTGGTACGCAAGTTACCTTATTTTGTAGTTTTGGTCTACCAGTACCTTACTTGTACCAAGTACCTATTTTGGGAGCGTTATTTCTTACTCGTAACCTATACCTTGTACCAAGTTACCTTATTTTGGGAGTGTTGGTCTAACGTAACTTACCTTGTAACAAGACTTTATTTTGGAGTGTTGGTCTAGTGAACCTTACCCTTACAAGTACCTTATTTTGGAGCGTTTATTCTAAACTGTACTTTACCTTGTACCAGTACCTTATTGTGGAGTGTTTGGTCTACTGAACATTACCTTACCAAGTACGCTTATTTTGGAGTGTTGGTCTACCGTACTTTACCTTGTACCAAAGTACTTATTTTGGAGTGTTTGTCTTACGACCTTACTTTACCAAGTCTCTATTTTGGAGTGTTGGTCTACTGAAACCTTACTTTACAAGTACCTTTATTTTGGAGTGTTGGTCTACCGTACCTTACATGGTAACAAGTACTTATTTGGAGCGTTATTCTAACTGTAAGCTTACTTGTACCAAAGTACCGTTATTTTGGAGGTGTTGGTCTCGTACTACTTACAAGTACCCTTATTTTGGTAGTGTTGGTCTACTGAACTTACTTACAAGTACCTTATTTGGAGTGTTGGTCTACCGTAACTTACCTTGTCAAGTACCTTGATCAGCTGCGTTGCGGTCGCAGGACTTGTTGAGTGCATGCGAGGCATCCGGAGTGCAAAGGGCCTATTGCGTGAACAGCGGCGGCGGCCGCGCGAGCAAGGCCAAGTGCAGGAAGGACTCGGCTGACTCACCGTGGTACGCACCACGTGCACACAGATTGCATTTATGGAATAGTTCATTACACCTCTTTAAGTATTCCAACATCGTTAAGTCTAAAGACCTTTGCGTCCAAAACTTACCTTCAGAAACCAAAGCATTTTGTTTTACGGACGATCGTGCATTGCGCGCGGCGATGGTGTAAACGGTTTAACGTATCGGGGCGTGTTGTACGTTCGTACGCCTTCTTCGGTAGGGAAGTAAATGACGTGCTGTCCCATGTTAGTAGATTTACTTGCCTGTAAAGATCTCAATGACGCCTCTGAGCCTAATTCAATGTTCGCTATCGTGTCATAAAATATGTTTCAAGGTTAAGCAATTATAGATTGGGCTTATCTTGTCACCGTGCCTTCACTCAGACATCCGACTATGTTAGCGCACCGAGAACAAGGGACACAATTTTATAATCTGCATTTTCCGTACTGAGTCTGAGAAACGTGCACAGAGTCGTGTTTTTCCTACGCGGGGCTGGTGTAAGTTCTAAGCCTACGGCTATTGTACCCAACGTTGCGGGCTCAACCCGCATCGAAGCCTGGGTTTTTAAGCGGGCGAAAAAATCTTCTTGTACGACTTCGGAGCGAGAAGTAAAGCCGGCTGTCAATGTTGGGTCAGATTTACTTGCAACTGAAAAACGATCTGAATGACGCTCTGAGCTCAATTCGAAAAATTCCGCACCTGGTTTCTCGCCCAAGATAATACCGCTGCTATTCTCTGCTAGTTAGTGAAAGGAGGTAGCGCAAATTCTGCGTTGTCACAGCGGACAGAGCAGGGCCATCCATGCCCTGAGTCTCTCCACGTAAAATAAGGCACTGGTCTCAATTCAATTCAATCTCAATACAGTATTTTCTGAATTGAAAGCCATGCAACCCGGAAGCCCTTAACTCAGAAGCCCTAATCACGGAACACCTAGGCCGAAGTCGAAATCTACTAATTCCTACAGGGACCTAATCCTAAACCTCGGGAATGAAACGACTGAAATCAAGAGCTGGAATAGTGGAAACGAAACGTGGTCTTCCCCATAAGCCATAAATCTGAATCTCAACTAAAAAATATTACTAATAGAAGATTATGAATTCGAAACACAAACATTTGTGTCTCTTTAGGACTTAATAATGTTTAGAAGACATAGAATTTATAAATTTTCTAATTTTTCTCTTATGGTCAACTAAGACGGGATGTAAACTGCAGAAGACGCGGGTGTTCAGGAAAACTTGCGGTGATGTTTGGTATGCCTGTTTTTTTAATTATGGTAATATTCTATAGAAAATGATTGTAAGAAGAGAATGGAATTGACCCAAATTATTATCATTGGTGTTATAAAATAATAATTATTTTTATAATAATAATAATAAAATAATAATAATAATTATTATTATTATTTATTATTATTATTATTATTATATTATATTATTATTATTATATTATTTCCTCTAATTCACGACTAAAAGTGAATATGAGTAGTTTGGAATATTAAAATCTACTATGTGGTGCAAACCATATTCCTAAGGAGCATATTAGAGTCTGTTCGTGCCGTCTACAATCTTTGTGATGGAATGAAGGTGTTCTTGTACTTCTATTACCCATTCTTTGAATGACCTGGAGTTTCGCCAAGTTCTTAGCTTTAAAAATTATTAATTATTATTAATTATATTATTATTATTATTATTATTATTATAAGTAGCATCTTCTAAAGTCTCAGAGGTTAACATCCGATTTTTTAGAGGTCTATAGGATCACTTGACGGAAACGGTTAATTGCACGTTGTACTTCATTCAGACGGTGGTGAACTAATGCGTCCTTTACCAGGTGACACTCGTGTCACGGTCGTAATTGGTTCCTTTACGAATTTAATTGCAAATGTCTCATTAAAATTTTTAATGGCTTTTTAAACATAATATTTTGAATACTGATATAGCTTTTTTGGTTGCGAAATACAGCATGGCTCTTGTAAATAGTGGTGAGGTAAGTTCGTATTATGATTATAGCAATCGTGTGTTATTCTTTAGTAACAGTTGTTTAACTCCGTAATTAGAGTGTAGTTGTACTGTATTTTGCTAGAAAAGATTCCTTTCCTAAACATCCGGATTAATTTCTCTTGTGAGCGCCCACGTTGTAAACTTTAAAGCAGACCGAAGCGTTCAAAAAGGAAAGTATTTAATTTTTAAAATGACATTTAATGTATTATATATCATATGGATTGTATAATTGGTAAAGAACTGTAACAAGAATTTGTTCTCAGCTTTATGGGTCAATGACCTTTCATCTCGATCAGGTTTTTCTGTCAGTTTCCCTGATCTCGAGCAGAATGCTGATGATGCGCTCCGTTGTTTTGGCTTCTGGCTCATAAATGTACTTTAAATTAACTTCTCCAATTGCACGTACAAACAGTTTTAAACGTTTTTTTGACGTAAATACATAAATAAACTCGTCCAATGAAATTCCATTGTTCATTCGTATATGTAAATAAATATAAATAGTCCTGTTCAAATACGCTTTGGGGCAAACGCTCCTGTATTAAACAATGTTAGCTCTTGATATACACCAAATAACTACTCTGATGGTTCCTTGGCACTATTTCCCCTTCTTCAGAAATGAACACAAAGTATTTTGTACAATTTTACAGTTGAATCAAACGGGGGTAGTTGCGAATTACACAAAATTTCAGAAATTTACGTGTTACTTTTAGTTAGGTACTACAGGAGCAAGAACACAAAACGGCATGCAAAACTGGTATTTGTTTCACTTGCGGATCACATAAAACAATGGGGCATAGTATTGGTAGCAATTTTAAGAAAATTTTTGCCAAGGAAACACAGTGTTTCAATTAACAAGATGTATTATTTCTAACGTATCAGCTAGATGCCGATTAAAACTCTGTCATATTAACGTAAAATGTTTCAACGAAAAAATAAAATACATAAATTTATTTTTTATATACTCCTAGAGGCGGCAGTTCTCTAATTCAGGAGCCAATGAAGATGAACCATAACGGCAGTGTAAATGCCACGCCGCCACATCACGAAACTTAGAAGACACTCACGCAGAGGAGTTAAATAATTATATATGTTATAATTATATTATTTATTTATAGTATTTATTTTAATATCACAATAATTTACTATTTTTATAAATTAATATTATAGAATTACTTACTATAATTAATATAAAAAAATAATATTATTAAACAAAATATTAAGTCATGCATAAAATCGCATACTGAAAACTCAGCCACGCAAATTAATTGAATAGTGATCGTCACTTTCAGACAGATGTTCTCCAACGGCAAACCAAGATGATATACGCCTCAGAAATGCAGTGATGCCAAACGGAGGCTTCTCCCATACGCAGGAAGAACTAGAGCGCATCGCGTTCTTGCGACGAGAAGAAGAAGTATGCTGCTGGTGAAGGTACGAGTAGGTATATACTGATATCAGGGCATTCAGCGAATGCTGAGATGGGCCGTGTTCTGTTTTTGGAACATAAATATATAATAATGCTATTTGTGCATAATACATTGAATTGCATTAATGCCTTATTTTTAGCGTGGCGAGACTCGTACACGTAGGCTTCCGCGCGGTCGCGTCATTGCTTCTAGGTGTTCGGGTGACGCCGCGTCGTTGGCAGATAGGCCACGTTCGCTGTTCATGGCGCAGGGCTTCTTCAGGGTACTGAGAACCTCAGTACCTCTGAAGACCTACGACATGACAGGCGAAACGTCGGCCTATTGCGCAACGACGCGGCGTCACCCGGACAGCCTAGAAGAGTGGCGAGACTCGAAGCTATCAAGGCCGTCTTTCGTCTGACCACGCAAATAATACCTCCTTTCACCCACTAGCGGAGAAAGGGAGGTATTTCTTGGCGACGAAACGCGATTTTGAATTTAGTTCAGAGGCATGTCATTTAGGCTTGAGGAATCTTATTACATGCAAGTAAAATCTACTAAATTGTCAGCCGGTTACTTCCTGCCGAAAGGAAAGGCGTACGAAGGATTTTTTCGCCTTAAAAATCATGGCTTTCGATCGGGTTTCACCCCGCCAACTTTGGGTAACAATAGTCGGTTACGCTAACCGTTACGCATGCCGTAAAAATTACTCTCTGTGCACGTTTTTCCTAGACTTTAGTAGGAAATACAATTAATTAAAATTGTTTCGACATGTTCTCGTGCTACAAGTCGATTCTTGTATGAAGGGACAGCGGTGAGGGATACTAGCCGTATATAATTGATTTACTTTGAAACTAGATTTTATGACCGGTAGCGACCATTTTTTCCCCAATTCTTGCCAAAAGCACTCATTTAAGATTTAAGTGCATACGTGTAGGGTATGGATATTAGAATTTAGAAAAGGTGGTGGCCGAATGCACTTATCCTCTTAGTACGCACACACAATTTTTCAACTCTCTTCTTTTCTTCTTCTTCTGTTTTTCTTCCCGACAGGGTTTAGGTCATGTAACTGTTCAGCATCCATTCTTTTCGTCTATCTCTTTCTGTTCTAATAGTTCAACAGCTATGATTCGGTTCGAAATCGGTTCAATAGAATTCTTGATATATGGCTGTACAATTTTAAGTCTTTTTGAGATTTTTTTCAAACATCTTTGACTTTAAAACATCTATTATTTTCGGAATTTCGTTCTTGTCGAGTAGCAAACCACTAGTGTGTTTCGCAGAAAAACATTATTAATAAGTAAGTTATGAAATTATATAATTGAAACATTATTTACAAAAATTGTGCACAATTGGTGGCACAAATATGATGTGCAAAATGTAATTTTTATAAAACTCATAATAAGATATACTCCTCTCCATACATATGGTTCTGCCGTACATTTCTTAAAGGGCAGTCCGATTTTTGTTTTAGTTCTTCATTGAAGCCGGTAATGAAGGGCTAGGTTTTTAAAGGAGGTAATCACTCTACGGCACTTTGCACAAAACTGTTGTTGTGTTCGTTTTAATCTAGTTCATAGCAAATTTTTGTTGTTAACGTTTCTACTATTTATGATGAAAATTGTTATAACAAAATACCAAAAATAAACGTTTAACAATTTTTTATTTGTGAACTTTATACAATTCTAGAATTCTAACTTGTATCAATGCTTATTAAATATAATCCCCCCCCAAGAGGTGTACGAATTATCAAAGTACTGATCGTTGTCACCAAAGAGAATATACAGTTCTTAGAAAGAATTACCCAACTTCAAGTAGAATATCAAATAGCGGCATATTGGTGGTAGAGCAGAATATATCGATGGCTAAGTTACCAGACTGTTATAAATCCAATTTTTGTAACAAAATTAGATTTTGTTTTCATTTTGTTTCAATCTCTCATGCTACATGTGTGCATAAAATAAAACTGTGATTTCGTCCCTTAGCATGTAACAATTCATTTATTCTACCATTTCCATTCTTTATCCACTACATTAAAAAAGGGTTAAGTTTAGTGAAATGAACTTGTAAAGTTTGGTTCCCAGCCATAGACATGACTACCAACACTCTCAAGCGGCACTCACATACAAGTTGTTTCGCTGGTTCTGTGGTTCCTAATACAGTGACAAAGTACTGGCGGGAATCACTCGGGCTCGCTTCCGTGCACTGTTTCTGCTTTCTTTTCTTGGGAGCCTATGTCAGTGGCTGCTGCGCGCTGCCGATTTTAAATGATTGCATCCACACAATAACAAAATTTTTTTTATATTGTAATTCCACTAGCCTGATATGTATTGCAATAACGAAATATCTGCAGTTGGTTTTAGATGTATGTCTGTTAATGTGAAATTTAGTAATTTAATATTTAATTACTAGGGTGCGGATTTTAATGAATGTCATTTTTTTCTATCCACTTTGGAACAATGCCGTTGGTATAGAAATCATTTTATATTATGACAAACACTATGACCCATTTTTAAATGTCATTTTGTTGCATGTTTTTCGTCGAGTAGTAAGTCATTTGGTACCTTTTTTGGTAATATCTTAATGAATTTTCGCTGATTTTTCGATTTTCATATCATCTTTTAATGGTACTTATCCTTCAAACAATCTTTATCGAGGGTGAACAAATTGCACCAAGCAGAATTCCTAAGGTAGCTATTCGATTTCTTTGCTTCATAGATATTGTTATTTGTCAGAGGTTGACGTACTACTGTAATCTAAGGTTCCCTGTGAAGAGGAAACCATTTACCTTTCTGATGTGGCAAATTTTTTCATCATTTTTTTGACTTAAACAAGTAGTTTCTGGTATTTGATCAGAAGTTAATCCAAAAATTGTTTTGCGCATGCTGCTTCCTTAGAGACATCTTTGTACGTTTGAGGTCGGGAAACGGCTCTCTACTCATAAGTGTCAATTGTAATAGTAAATTAGCATTTTTAATAGTTTGAGAATTTCACTGAATGTTTATTCTAAATTTTGCACTCTGGAAACTAACCAACAATGCCTCATAAGCTCTTAAATTCTCTTGTACTATACAAAGTTCAGTTTATTATAAAATAATCTGGATTGTTTTTCTATTATTCATTGAAATGAAATTTAATACAGGAGTATTAATTTCCTCCCCGTCATTTTTGACATGCTGCCCGTAGTATAGTAATAATATCTAATTGCTTCTGAATACGGTCATTTTGTGAAAAAGATTTCTGGAAAGTTGATATTCTTTTAATTGGTTGCTACGTTTCTGCCTATCAAACTATCTCGTTAGGAATGACTGTTGAAACGGTACAATTACCTGTAACCGCTTGTCTAAAAGATGAAATCGATCATTTGTAAAATTGTACTGTTTTATTAAGTACGCATGAGCCTCAATTTCTATACTAACAGACAAAACTGGCGTTATAATTTGAAATAATATTGAAATATTAATTATATGAGTCATCATTGAAACAATGATTGTTTATTACAATAGGAGCTTTCGTTGGTTTTTTTAGTAAAGAAAAAATAAAAACAAAACATTAAAGACGCTGAACATTTTTGGGCGAGATGCTAAAGCCGCAGTAGTGCGTAGCGATTCGTACGAAACGATGCCGGTTCGCACGTCCCGCTCGGGCATGGTTGTGTTTTGGGTTTGGGGATTCGGGTCACCATTCACCCTATGCATCATCATCATCATCGATATCAGAGAAGGCACGGGAAACACCTGAATAATTTATTCCAAGAAAAACTGCGTAATGGGTACTACTTCGGTATATGAAAAGATAAGCCCAATAAGAAAGAATATAACGCATACCAATAATAAATGAAATAAATTATTGCGCAATTAACTAATCCCCTCAATACTGTTCGCACAAAAATTGCGGAGGCAGGTGATGGGACGGACAGGGAAGAGAGCGCTTGGCGCATCAAGTGTGCAAGTGCAGAGCGGGCCGCCGCCCTTGACAGCGTTGAAGGTAGCCGATCAGTGACCTCACATAATCAATTTTCCTTTCGTATCCTGTAACGAAATTTATTAATATGTAGTTTGTAGCTATAAACAAAACTAGAAATGTTATGAAGTGTTATTATGCCGATGCCAAAAGGTTAAATTCGAGGCAGAGCGTAGCGGAGCGAGCTTTTTTAATTTGGACGAGACAGAAAATAACACTGTTACATTTCCTGGTATGTGCAGCGTTTAAATCAGTCACATAAATCTCATTTTTTTGAGAAAATTACGACTTTACTGCGATTATGATAACACATGAATTTGTGTTTGCGGCACGACAATTGATATTGTTGGGTATTATTTGCTACTATTTCAACAATACACTTATATACTGTGCTCGAGATATAGACGTTGAAATTCATCTGCACTCAAGAAATTTTTTGCTGGCAGCTGTGAAAGCACGCGAAGATTTCTCCCTGAAAATCTAGAACGATACGAGAAGGCGTACGAAAGAATTTTTTTATCTATTTGTTTCTTGTAAAATACCATGTAAATTTTTCGTATAAATGTTTTAGACTTTGTGGGAATGGGTGGTTGTTTATTTAGGTTTGACTAAGGATGTTAAAAACCCGTTGCTAAAAGGATTTTAAAATTTCTTAGCCTACAGTTAGGTAAAATGCACATAACAAACTTACAGGGGTTGCCCAATGTTAACAATGGTTAAAGACAAATGATACATAAATATAATTTATACAGTAAATATCCCCTGCGTTTTTTGTCGATCTTTATAAAACCGTCTGTCAAATAAATCTAATGCTAACTATTTTTGTTGGGCGAGAAGGACACACTGAAGCGCAGTGAAGTTTTTACCTTGGATATCACTTTGGATGTAATTTTACTTCTTTCGATGAAATAAAGTTATATATGAACGTTTAAAGCAGAGACATGTGTCGAATCAAATTTAAATTCATTTCTACATAAAATGTACTCGCTAAATTATGTGAGAGTGCCCTTTCTTAACTGCGCTTCCTGCCATTCGCTTTCAATCATTTCCACTTTTGAGAAACCTCTCCATATTCAGAAGCTTGTCTCCAAAATCCAACTGCCGCTAATTTTACACAAAAAGAAAAACTTACTGCAGCTAAAATTATTATTGTATTAAATAAATATTTCATTACGCGTTTTTATGAAAGTTACTGATGTATTTTTTGAAAACATTTAGGTTTTTCCGTATTTTATTCTAAAGTTATAGGGATTTTCATTTTGAATTTGCTACCTTTTGACTTACAAAAGCAGAAAAGTTGTATGTAGTCTTATTAATGAACGCAAATAACTATCAAGATTGATGTTTTTCACAAATATTTAAAATGAACATCTCATTGAACTTTAATAAAATATTAAAGTTCAAAATAATGAAATTTATGTTGGAAAGCATTTTCATACTGAAATACAAATTAATGTTATCAGTTTTCTCTTCAGTAATTATTTTTCTTTTACTACAGCTATATTTTTTTGCAGTGAAAGGTGAGTAGATATGGTACGTTTTTTCATAAAAAGAGAATTTCGAGTTTAAAGATTTGGGAAATTTCTATTGTATGTAGTTCTCAAAACCGCATAATAAATTTGGCAACTATAGTTAATTTTTCGAAAAGTATGGATTTTGTACCTTTAGGAACGTTCGTCAGTTGCTACGAAATGCTTGCTTTGATGACCTCCTTATTTATTATGTATTTATATTAAATTATTGAAAGTGGTCCATCGCGGGAGGGAAGTAATAATGGAGGGCGCGATACTATAAAGATATATTTATTTTTTATTTATTTATTTATTTATTATTTATTTATTTATTTATTTATTTATTTATTTATTTATTTATTTATTTATTTATTTATTTATTTATTTTTTATTTATTTATTTATTTATTTATTTATTTATTTATTTATTTATTTATTTATTTATTTATTTATTTATTATTTTTTATTTATTTATTTATTTATTATTTATTTATTTTTTATTTATTTATTTTATTTATTTATTTATTTATTTATTTATTTATTTATTTATTTATTTATTTATTTTATTTTTATTTATTTATTTATTTATTTATTTATTTATTTATTTATTTATTTATTTATTTTTTTATTTATTCATTGGGCTTGCAATGTCTAGATTCGGATCCCGTTCGAGTTTGCTTTTTTGTCAGTTATTTTTCAAAGTCAAATATGTTCTGTACGTACGAGGGATGTTTCAATGTTAACGCGCGAGCCGAACGAAGTGAAGTGTGAAGTACCTTTAATATGTTGGTATATCCAATTTATTAAAAAGGGGAGTTAACACATTTTTGTCGATTTTCCTTTTTTTTCATAATTGTAGATTTAAAAATTGAATATATCAAGTGAATTGAAAAAGAACGCTTTATTACCATTGGGGGCAGAAAATGTTACGTATTTCTACAAATTACATTGTTTTTTATGTCGCTGACTTAGGCCTGTTTCATAATATAACTACTTGTGAGGCGTGTATGACAGCTCCGAAGATAGTATCTAGGGAGTTTATGAAGATCTTATTATCAGAGTTTGTGAACAGATTGTAAATTCTCTCAAAAATATCAGACAAGGTATAATTGACGACGAAACGATGGGGAATAACAGGTGGCAAGAATACAATATTTTCTGAAATGAGAAAGAATACGTCTTGTAGTGAAGGGTTTACTTCTTCAATTCAATACCCCTCTCACTACTTGTTTGTTTAATTTTGCACAGATCGAAAGGTTACTTGAATTAAAGGAAGTAGTTCGAATTCAAATTTTGTCATTTTCGTTTATTCTCATATTGATTGATTTAAAAATAGATATATCAATGACTTGGAAAGGAAGTTTATTACATCATTGGGTCAAAAAAGGTTACATAATTAACAAACTTACTGTAATACTTTTTCTTTGTATCAGAGATAGAACGATAGAAATCTAGGGAGTTTTGTGAAAACTATTATATTAGAGGTTTTTTGTGAACAAACTTGTAAATTTCAATTCAAAAAATATTAAGTAGTAAAAGACAAATTGGAAATGTAATGAAGGTGCATTTATACATTCTCTAAGAATAAACATTTTTTATTTTGAATTAATTTCTTGCTCAATAAGACAAATTGGATAGACTGCTGAAGAGATTCCAGCTGTTATATTAAGAATGTGTTATGTTAATAATATTAAATTGTCCATCAAATGTTAACGAATAAATGTTATTTGCATGCATTCTTCGTTTGTCAACATTTCTTTCTCCTGTATTTTTTAAAAGGCTGAGTTTGAAATTTATTCATTGTTCAAAAATTATTTGTAGTAATGGAATACAAGAAAATATTTGTTAGTTACGGATATGGTTTAGAAATTGTCATGGACCATGCAGAAAACAAATCAAAGTTGCAACCTCGGTTTTTTGCGTTTACAAACTTTTTTTTCTTTTGCATATCCTGGGAACTTCAACTAAATCTTACATTCACTCTTAATAAAAAAAGAAGTGATTCAATTGCTCTTGCAGAGTGTTAAACGAAATGTGTACAAGAGAAAGACGGAGTCTTTAGATGGAGTATTCATGCAGTGAAGTCGACGGGGGCGCTGTGCACGTCAGAGTCCAAACTAAATTCATCGGCGATTTAGAATCGGCACATTCGGCTTAGTATTGGAAGGATTGTGGGAGAAAATGTCACGGACTGTCTTAAGAGAACAAAATAAATGTTCTATTTGAGAAGAGAAGTGTTAGTGGTACACGAGAAGCCCAGCAAAGCAAAGAGTTATACATTCATTCTAACGTGACGTTTTTGACTGGTAAGGAAGTTCTGTGGCCAATACATTCGTGTTATGCGACGTGTGCAGGTTGTGGGAGTGGTGAGATTCTTCACAACGGTATTGCTTTTGGTGAAACGAATGTGCCGTTCATATTCTTTAATTAGTTTGTTAGAAATGTGGGAATGCTACATAGGCGATATAATTCATTTATCCTCATGTAGTGTAAGTACACATCAGTTTTTTAATAAACAAACAAAAATGCTCACCTTTTTATAATGGATCACATCATTAACTACCAGTAGAAGTTATTAAATCATGTACTATAAAACAAGTTTTATGTTTATTTTTTGTAAGATGGAATTCAATTTTCAGAATGTTATTATATAAAAACATCTTATTTTTAGCCATTCCAACAGCTATCCTTCTTTCAACAAATCATTTCGTTGCTTTCAAAGAAAATCTTCGTTTTGAATTTTCATTGCGATGCTTTGGAGTTTTGGCCTAAGTGTTTGTGCACATAACTAGTTGCGAGGTCAAGGCAATATACTATTAATAGTTTGGTGAATGTGTGAGAGACTTTATTTCTATTTAATGGTTTCGTCAACCGTGTGTAATAACGATTTGTTGTATACAAACTACAAATCCTGAGTGGGTGTGCTAGAACTGCAAATTAAACTAACAAGTGTTCGTACCAGATTCGAACTGACTGCGAATAATTTGGGATGTGCCGAAACTAACGTATTTTTGAGCTTTGAAACTTATTTTTAATTCGATAACGCATAATTTAAGCTGTCTGGACGCTATCAGAAGCTGGAGAAAAAAGAAAGACTATGAGTGATGTTTTGTGACGGAAACCCGAGTGTAAAACCGAACGAATTTTTCAGAATACGCATGCTACCTGTACAAATATGGAATCAAGTGGTGGTCGAGTTGCAAGGTCATCACGGGGTCAGAAGTGGAGCCTTCCGGGAACGTGCCATTGCAGGGCTGAGTGCATGCTTCGTCGGCAAAACCAGGTAAATAAATTTTCATTTTTATGGCAGTTTTCATAGATTTTGCGTTGGCAACGAAAAGAAAAAGGAAATTAATTTCTGGGCCCTTCATTTGCCATTGAACTTCTTTTTAATTACATTCATGTTAGCTAATAAATAAGTAAATAAAGATCCTACAATGATATGAAATAATAATCTATACAATTATAAATACAATTGATTTTATGTTAAATAATTTCGCAGTTGCCAAATGTTTGATCAGGTCCCCGAAATCGTTAAACAATTTTTTTCAAATTTTCAGCTAAAGAAGGAAATCAAGTATGGAACATAAGGAAATCAATATTTTTTTATGGCAAGGTTGCGGAGCCCCTTTCAAATTTTCAAGGGGGCTGTAGATCTTATTCTTCCCTGGTGCATGCTTACAGTAGGTAGTCGAACTTAATTATGCAAGTAGTGAATACGTCTGCTGAGATTAACGCGTTAAATAAATATTATGTTGTTGATTGAGCAGGCAGAAACAAATCAAGTGATCTTTTATTTGAAAATTAAGCAAATCTGAAAGGATAAATTAGTATTATTTAATTATAATTATTGAAGGATCTATTACTTTGAGCATTAAAAGTATCACATTTTAATTATTGTGTGTTATGACTAAAAAATTAATGACATAAGGAACAAAAGTATATTAATTTTTTGTTTCATTAAGATCAGTGCACATTTTTAACCGAATAATGGAGTAACAGATACTGTTTAATTCTGTTTGCTCTGGCAGCGAGATAATGATTACTAAATTATTTTAGAACGATTATTTTAGAGTCAAGTGACAGGAAATAATCATTAACAAAATTAGGAAGTTTCTAGAATGTCATTTTTTTATTCAGAGTTTCAAGTAAAAACGTTACTTGTTTTACTGCAATTTTTGAAATATACTTATACGAGTGTAAAATAATTAAATAATGTAGTCGTTATAGAATACTTTACTTCCGCATCCAATTTGACCATTAATAGTTTCAGTAAACGGTGCAAACAATTGTGGCCGTTTCATCTCATTCTTGGTGGAATCCGGTATGTGTCTTAGTAGTTACAATTTGGTTTTGTGGTGAACTCTGAATGATTCATTCATGCTTTATTTGAATCATTAATGAACCATGGATACAAGCGTTTTCAGATTAACCGACGTGGATTTAGAATATAAAATCAAGGTAACAGACGTATTTTATATATATAAAAGATGTCACCCTAACAAATGGATAAAATTAAGCCAGCATATTGAATATTTTCAGTCTTTCGGAATCATTAGAAAATAATAGTGAATAAATTATAACTTCAATATTCAACTTCGTATGTACTTGTCGTGTTTGCTCTACATTGTTCGTACTTCGGTACTATACTGGAATGTGGGTCATTATTACTCACTATTTTGCGATTTATTGAAAATTGCAACATGGAGTCCGCAGGGATCGATTTTAGGCCTTATTACTCATCCTGTATACTGAAAACGGTCCCGGTATGCCGATCAATTGATCCGTAGGAGCAAACAGTTCTCTCTTTTTGCTGATCATACAAATATTTTTTGCAATAGGAGACAGTAATCTGTACACCCAGACAATGAAAGTGTTATAACAAATTACTCGTTCACGCGATTGTTCCAAGTTGGTTCTCTCCTTTCGAGAGAGGTGTTATCTTGTGCATAGGTCTTTGCACAAATTGTGATTTATTACATGGGCGGAGTAAAAATTTACATCATAGGA